GTGGTCCTGGGGGGGTCAGAGGGGCTGAAGGAGATGGAAGGCAACGTGGCTGGGATATTGTGGGATGTTGAATCCTGACCCCAGATGACCCGGGCTGCAGAGCTGTGTCCCCATACTCTCCACTAAAGAGAGCACAGCTGCACTGGGAGCGCTGGGCAAAAATGAGGTCAGGTTCTGTCAAAGCCAGTACGATTCACAGGCGAGCTCAGCTTGCTGGATTGACAGCAACTGTTGAGTCATTACTGCAATTGTAGACATGAACCGATTTACCTTCTGGGAAGAGAATTTGGTATAAACCGTGAACTTCAAAAAGTTTCTGCCTGGAAACTGAAGAGGTAACCATGGCAACCGGGAGGCAGGTTGAACTCGGGAGAGGGCTCTTCATCTTGAGCAGGGAGCTTTGTGCTCTTGGATTTGCCCATCTGTGCACCATGCATCAATTCCTTTGTCTCTTTCTCTTTCTTTGTCAAATGAAAAAGTACTAGCTCAGGAATCTGGAGATTCGGCCCAGGGTTCAGCTGTTTTCAGCTCCATTGCATTTAACTAAGGGCCTTTAGCACTGCCGTTTTGTTGTCTGCAGAATGGAAATTTAAAAGCTCCTCTGGCCTATTCACAGGGAATGCAGAAAGGACAGGAAGGTTTGAGGAGGTTTTCTGCCTAATCACTATTATTGTTGTCACGTGGCCACGTCCAGGCTGATTCCAACGTGGTACTACTGAGGGTAAGACCGGGGGTTCAATCCGTCCACAAACTTGCTTTTATTGCTTGGAGAAAAGCTGTCTCAGACACCACCCACGTCCCCATTCGGCAGCTGCATAATAAAAGCATATGCACTGGGGCAGAAGCAGCAGCAGGTGACAAAACAACCCTCATCCCAGCTGACGAACTCCTCCAGCAGAAGGGCCTGCTAATGCTGCCGGGTGGGCTGCGTCATCGTGTGGACCAAGGGCTGTGTGGAGAAGCAAACGTTCAGAAAGGCATCCTTCCGTTGCCCCCCTCCCAACCCTTGCCCGTTGCCCTGCCCCACACCAATCCAGCCCTGGACTTGTGAGAAAAGTAGAACGAGAGCCCAGGTGGGCGAGACGGGGTGCAGGTGGGAAGCGGCATCTAAGATGGTGCTACCAATGCGTGAGCTGCTGCCTCGCCTGTCCCTGTGTTCCACTAACCACCCGGGAGGCCAGGGAGGGTTCAGCTCTGGTTTCAGAGAGCGTTAGGTTTTGACTAACTGGATCATCTTCCGCAGGCCCTGGCTTAACAAGGGAATCTGCTCTGACAAAAGACCCCCCATATTGTTCTGATTTGGGCCTCTTTTCCTATAGTGGTGCCTCAGCAGCTCTCTCACAGGCCTTTTTCCCCTCTTCCCCTCTGTGGTTTTCCCCTTTCCTTCCCTGACCAGCTTTTCTGGGACTTGTCACTGGGCTCTGTCAGGTGGAACCTCTTTGCCTCTGGTTTCCGACCCTTACTTCCAGGCCCCGCTGAGGAATAGCAACTCTTAAACGCCCCTCATGAAATAAACACCTAAACTCTGAGAGTCACAAAAAAAACTTACTACTTTTCCTTGTTGTCTAGCAAACCCCTGTAACCCTACTAAGTAAACCTGAGAGCGAAGGTTGACTGAGCGCTGACTACGAGCTGAGCTCTGTCCCAAGCACCTTCCAGGTGTGGCTACAGGTGCTGTGGTGTGTCTCCCAGATCTGCGTTTGGGACCAGGCCCTCATCCCCCAGGGTGCTGGCTGCTGTAGGCTCACAGCCGTCTCTCGCTGGGAGTTGCCCTTAACAGAGGGAATTGCCTCGTTTAAAATTAGGCCGTCCAATGAACCGTTGATGTGGGATGCAAAGGCCCGGCCCCTTGCTTCACTGGGGGTCTGCTCAGAAGAGTCATCCCACTCCAGAGCACCCCCTGGGACCAGCTTCCAGCATTCGTTTCCTCCCTCTGCCCAACCCTGCTTCCCTCACACCCTCTTAGTTCCCAGAACTCTCCCCAGCAAGTCTCTGCCTCCGAGGAACTGAGTTTCCCGTCTCCTGGGGAATTCAAACTAAGAATTAAATTTCTTTAGTCCTCACAACTTTATGAAATAAGCGCATCATGTTTTCGTTTTAGAGACAAGGAAACGGAGGCATGGAAAGGTTGAGAAACTCACCTAAAGTCTCCCATCAGTATATAGCAGAGCCCAGATTTGAAACTGAGAAATCTATCCCTAGATGGCACACTCTTAAGCTCAAGTGCAGCCTCTTAATAGCAATCCCAAAGGGAAGTGGGGGGCAGTGGGGAGGCTGTGATGCCTTTATGGGAAAGTGAGGAGAGAGGCAGAGCATTTATTACCTTTATCTCAGAGATGAGGACGCCGAACTAGCTAGCAACTGCTTAAAGGCAGGATCGTTCATTAGTTCCGGAGGTGGTGGGATTCTAATCTGAGGAGGGACAGTGAAAAAGCATGGTAAATTCATATTTGACTTCTGGCAAAACACTTACTGTGTGACTTTGAGCAAGTTATTTAACCCGAGTCTTAGTAAAAAAGTACATAGTAGATGCTCAATAAAGCCAGCCACCACCCCCACCCCTTGTCTGCTATTTCTAACTCTGATCTTGGCCAAGTCTCCCTAACGTTCTGACTCAGTTTCTTCATCTATAAAATGGAGGTGATGATGACAAAGGGCTTACTTAGTTGACCCGTGGCCATTTGGGTAGGAGCACAGTAAATGGAAGTTATCAGTATAACCATGATGCTCTCTTGCCTGGCTTGCATCCTGTGCTCCGGTCCTGTAGGACCCAACAGACTCAGGCTCAGGCTGTGCTCGACACCGTGCGTGTCTCCCTGAGGAGGCACCCCAACACCAATCCTCCTGGCACCGCTGAGTTGGTTTCCTGCTTTTACTAGCGGCACAAGGTGGGTTTTTTTTTTTTTCCCCTGCTAAACTGGGTGTGTGCTTCTCATCTCCGTGTGACTTCTCTGCCGCTTCTCCCTCCCCACGCCGGTGTCCGCCAGGAGGTGGGGGTTAGCCCCGTGAGCATCCCCGCGGTGTGAAGGTTGCACGAGGGTAGCGGCGCATCCCGGGTAGGGCGCCCCGCCCCGTCGAGCTCCAGGCCCCTCCTGCGCCTTCGCCCGCGCTCAGTACCGCTCTCCAATTGGTCGGCGGCGCGCAGCCCCGCCCCGCCCCCTCCAAGGCAATAAAAGCCGCTGGCTCGGCGCAAGCAGTTGAGTAAGCCCAATCTGCGCAGACAGGCGCTGGCCGCTGCTTCTTTGCCTCCTCGCGCCCTGCGGTGCCCGCTGGAGCCCGTCACCATCCTCCACACGACGTGCTGCCCTGCACCCGCAGCCATGTGCCGGACCCTGTCCGCCTTCCCCACCAACTGCCTGGAGAGGTAAGAGCAGCTTTGTCCATCTGCCTGGAGGAAGGACGAGTCCCACCAACCTTAGGGAATGCGGCAGCGGCAGGCTTGCAGACCTGGGTGGGCTGGAGAACGGGACGCAAGTGACGAGAGGCAGAGGGCAACTTGGTTCCCCGTTCTCAGATGCCTCCCTCAGAGTCTTAGAGAAGGATGGGCGATGAGAATGGCGAAGGCAAAGCAAAGGGAAGCAGAGGGACCACTGCTTACTGCACCCACCCTCTGACAAGTGGCAGTTCTACTCAGGTGACCCAGCTTCAGGAAAACCACGGTGGCCTCACCAGGAAGAACTGAGCCTTCCCAGGTTTCTTAAGCACTTGGTTTTCATTCTAAGTCATAGGTCTAGGGGCATGGCCTCCTCTGGCCCTGGAAAGGCAGGGAAGTGTTTATCAGCAGGCCCCCCAGTGAGGGATGTGCCCGCTTCCCAGGGAGCTACTCACCCACTCCAATCCTTGCTGGAGCTGGGAAGGAAAAAGTAAAGAGGAAGGCTTCCACACAGCTCCAGAAATATTTGTGACAAGTCTAAGAGAGTGCTGAACTGCCTTCTGCTAATCAACAGGCACAAAGATGGATCAGTGTGACTTAAGTGGGAAAAAGCCCATGTGTGCTGTACTGTAGACCCAGAAAGTATAAGACCTACCTATAAGGCACAGCTTAAATATTGCTTTCATTGTTTCTGGGTTCATGATACCACAGAGAGAGGCACCGTTTAGGCCCTGGGAACAGTTACGGGTTCCCAGGAACCCCAAGGCTGGAATTTGAGTGACACTAACCTGAGCTCTTCTGGGACCTCATAAATCTCTCTGCCCTGGCTGAGCGAATGGAGAATCCTCACAAGCTCGTGCTTTGTCTTCCAGAGCCAAAGAGTTCAAGACACGGCTGGGGATCTTTCTTCACAAGTCAGAACTGGGCTCCGGTACTGGGAGTGTTGGCAAGTTCGAGTGGGACAGTAAACACAGCAAAGAGGGGTAAGTCCTGCTGGA